TTTAATTATCATAGCAACAGATCAAAGCTTAATAGGGCGTGACGAAGCTTTGTTTAAAAATCGTATTGACTTCATAAGATAATGACGTAACGCTCGGGTATTGATGATGTCATATCGGCTTTTGTTGCTCTACGTGTGACGTCATCAAAACAATGAAATACAAATTAGATTAAAAGTTTGTATTTTAATATGGTAAATAGCTTTTTTACATCAGGGGAAAATTACTCGGTACTTTTAATACAATATTTGTTTTCTTGAATTGGAATAATCAAAATGTTGTAAAAGTTGATTCAATGTTTTTAAATTAAGCTATTGTAACTTATATGAATAATCAGTTGTCTGTCTGTCTGTCACTGATTTGCTCGAAATCTAATTGACCGATTCAGTTGAAATTTAGTAATAAATTCTCTATATGGGGGTTGAATTTTGGGGGTGAATTAGAAAAACAACAATTTAGCTAATTTTTCCGTGTTATACTAGACAGCAAAGAAATCGGGTCTCTGATTTAATTTTCTGAATATGTATAATATAACTTGCGACTATCAAATTTATACCGACAAAGAGTGTCTTTTAGTGATGTTTAGTGATGATACCATTGCATTGATATAACCATTATTACAATTGTTTAACAGTATCTTTAAAATTCACGTGTTTTTTATTTAGTTTAATTTAATAATGTCTTTATTTATAATTCATTTAATTTTATATTTCTAATTTAATTAAGGAGGAATTATTAATTAAACATAGGAGGAGCTTGATAGCGCAACTGGTTAGCGCGTTCGGCTGCGATCGTTGAAGTTAAGCAACTTTCGCAGTGGTCGGTCATTGGATGGGTGACCAAAAATTTACTATCTCGAGCTCCTCCGTGCTTCGGAAGGCACGTTAAGCCGTTGGTCCCGGCTACATCTGCAGTCGTTAGCACCCACCAATCCGCACTGGGCCCGCGCGGTGGGTCATGGCCCAATCTCCCTATTCCATCCATAGGGAAGGCCTGTGCCCCAGCAGTGGGGACATTAAAAGGCTGATGATGATGATGATGATGATGATGAATTTAATTAATTAATTGTGCATATATCTTAATCTCATTTAAGTTGTTATTATTAATGAATTCTATGTTGATGTAATTTTTAATGTATGTTTGGGTTGCTGTGTACTTGTATAAGCATGCTGTTTGCACATGCTAGTGGAGTACAGTATTTTTTTTATCAATTGTTTTTTTTAAGTGTCTTTTTGCTTGCTGTAACTCTTTTTGTGCAATAAATAAATAAAATAAAAAGATGATTAAAAAAAAATGGTTGCCTGTAAAGTCGGTTTTACGGGCGAAGATTTTACGTGACAACGTCTTTTTCTCGGTAGAATATTTATTGATATGAATATAATTAAATTGCACAATAGGAACAAGGAATTGAATGAAAATAAGAATTGCACAAATTTTAACTATAGAAATATATTTTGTTTACTAAAACATTGTATATGTAAACTTAAACTTAACACGAGAGACTCATCGTAACGTTACCGAGCGTTACACTTTTTCATAAGTGACTCCCAGCCGCAACCTAATTTAAGACGTTGTCACGTCAATAAACGGGAATTTATGATATTTAACATTTTTTCAAGTTTTTTACGAAGAAGAGTCGTTCGTCGGTTGTAAAAACGTAGCAAGAAAACACACCTCGGAGAAAACTATCGACCAAAACTAAAGAAATGATAGGAATTATAAGATTTTATCTTTATTTTATAAAAAAAAAAAGAATGTGGATCGCAAATGTAAAATGAATAGTTTAAGATTTTTGAAGTGAAAACTTCTTTAGCGGCGTTGTACACTTTTTTTTGTATGGGTAAAAAATGTTAAACTCGCGTCAGGTTAACACGTGGGCTGATCGCGTCATGACACGCAATAAAATTGGAAAGGTTGTTGACTTTCAATATATTGGACGAAACATAGTAATATTTTATTTTATCGTATTATAAGTCTCTATCTAGGACGTCCACGTGGCAGCTTTATTGAGAAGAAAATGCATTTTTTTTACAATAGATGTCGCTAGGTGAGCTTAAACGTGATTCATGAAAGTTGTTCTTTTGAGAGATAAACTTTTTTAATGTAATATAAATTGTCATGTTTGTGTACGATAGCGCTATAAATAATTTATACCATACCATGACAGAGGCTTTGTTGTCGCATAATACATATTGATTTATTCAGCCGGTCAGGGTCTGCAGTTTAGATCCGACATTGGTATCGCTAACTTGTTTATCGATCGATAGCAAATCGCACACAGCATGCTGTTTGATATATAAATGGGACAATTAAAGTTTTTAAAGGTTATATCAGTCCTATTTGACGACCTCCGTGGCCGAGTGGTTTGTACGCGAGTGGGTGGGTTCGAATCCCGGTGGGGGCAGATGTTTGTGTGATGAACACGAGCATTTGTACTCCATTCATAGATGTTTAATATGATGTATATATAAATATACTTATATATGTACAGTATATGTATTCTATCCATTACCCTAGTACCTCATAACACAAGCCTTAATATAGTGCTTACTTTGGGGCTGGGCTAATTGGTGTGAGTGATGGAAATATTTATTTATTTATTTGTATTCCAACATACAATAATTTATATATAGGAGGAGTGGTTAGCGCGTTCGGCTGCGATTGTTGAAGTTAAGCAACTCTCGCAGTGGCCGGTCATTGGATGGGTGACCAAAAATTTTGTAACTGGACTTCCTGCGTGCTTTAGAAGGCACGCGAAGCTGTCGGTCCCGGCTGCATCTGCAGCCGTTAGCACCCATCAATTCGGCCTGTCTGGACATGTCCATATCTCCCTATTTCCATCCAAAGGGAGGGCCTGTGCCCCAGCAGTGGGGACACTAATAGGCTAAATTAGGTATAGTGTGCCTTAATAGTGATTGAATAGTATCCTTCGTTGACATGGTTCATATTACTAAAATATCAGAGTCAGATTTGAAGCAATAAATTCGGTCTTATTTTTTTTAATTAATAATAAAATAAAAATTAAAAATTATTTATTTCGGACAACAGCAGCCCATATCAACTATACAAAATCAAACAATAAATTAACATTAAATTCATTAACATAAAAAACAACATCATCAATAATAAATAAATAAATATAACAAGTCAATCTTTTCACATTAATAATATTTAAATAAATAAAAGAAATAATTAATGTACATGACATTACACTAAAAGCCAGCATTTCTCACCAAAAATCTAATATGAATAAAATGCTACTGATGTTGAATTCGCTTTTAGCGGGTTAATTTCCCCATTGCTGGGGCACAAGCCTTCCCTATTAGGAGTTAGGGAGATTGGGCCATAACCCACCACGCGGGCCCAGTGCGCATTGGTGGGTGATGCAGATGCAGCCGGGACCAACGGCGTAACGTGCCATCCGAAGCACGGAGGAAGTCGAGATAGAAATTTTTGGTCACCCATCCAATGACCGACCATTGCGAAAGTTGCTTAACTTCAACGCGCTAACCATTTGCGCCATCGAGCTCTTCGCGATGCCCTTGCAGATAACAAATGCACTTGGATAACAATAACAAATAGGTATATTATTTATTGTTTATTTATAGTTGCAAGAACTTTGGCAAAGTCATTTCTTATGAATAGTCGCTACGCTGTATGTACATCGAAAACCCAGTAAGTCTTAATTGAGTTGACAAAACGAATCGACTCGGAAGTTTTTCGTCTTCGAAAATCCATTCCATGTTCTTTTATTAATCCATTAATGTCATCTCAACGACGCCAGTTTTGGCATTAGATCGGATTTACGTTTTAAGTATGTTTAACTGTATGACCCTGTCCACATCTCCGCGTCACGACGTCATCAAAGTGGACCAGTGCGGTAACGCGGCCGGTGCGGTGACACAACGTGCATATTTACGACCTGGGGGCCATTCGCCTAACGGAAATGCTTTGGAAAACGCTAACGCTTTCAATATTATTTTGTTATTTCTGACCGCCGAAGGTTTTCAAATACCTGACGCTCATTTTTTTAATATTGTTATTACCAATGCAAAAGAAAATAAAAGAGCGCGAGGCATTTTAAAACCTCAGGCGGCTAGAAATAACAAAATGAAATCGTAAGCGTTAGCGTTTTTCAAAGCATTTCCGTTAGGCGAATGGCCCCCTGGCACGGTAATATTAACTATACAGTATTGTGACTCCGCCCTGTCCTTGAAAATAAATGCCTACACCGAACGCTGCGTTGGCACGCGGTAGGGCCGCCAGCCTACAGTATTTTATGTAGTTTTGTTTTTAACGCGAGTGTAGGTAGATTACTCGTTTGTCTCTTTTTTCATCCTAACCACTTATTTATATATTATTCCAGATATTTTGCCCGATGGAAAAACCGAAATACCTAAATATTAGAAACAAATAACGTACTAGTAAATAGGTATATAAAAAATATTCTATAAAGGTAAGACACCTTTCCAATATTTCAGGTAATTTAAAAAATGATATCTCTGGGTGTGTTATTGAAGAGTTCAAGCAACCAAAAACAGCAATTGTGCTGTTGTACGATATTGATCGTCGTTTGTTCTTTTCCATACTAAATTATGTAGGTATCTACTTAATTAAATCAAATATTTACAATACAAAACGCATGTTTAAACACGGCTAACTGCATAAAAAACAATTCAGACCGTTCGGTCGTCGTTGCGGCGCGGCGGCGCATTCGCGACTGGGTGCACGCCGAGAGCACATCGAACTCGAGTGGCGTAGGTATGACTCGCTTTCCGACCGTTTGTATGAAGATAGAATACTGTATGATATTATTACCGTGCCCCTGGTTTGTCTGTCAATGCACCGTGCAACGTTACCGCACCGTTTCACGTTGACGACGTAATGACGCGGAGATGTGGACAGCCACTATCCACTAACGAACTTTCGCCTTCTCTACAAGAAATTTGAAAAACAGATCAACTCAAACTAAAGTATTCTTTATCTCTCTCACCATCACCAGATGCACAGCAGCGAGACGCTCGCAGCTCCGCCGTCGACGGGCCCCAACCTCCTCCTGGAGCTGGGTCGCCTCATCGTCCGCTCGCGCAGCCGCAGCCCCCCGCCCTCCCCCGCCCCCGCGCCAGCGCCGTCCCCCCACGACCGCCTGCTGCAAGCCAAGCTCCGAGCCGCGAGACCTTCTACCAGTCACCAGGTATGCGACCCTGCTACTCTAGACGCTCCCACCAATACTTCGTGCTCTTTCTCTCTTCTCTGAGCTCCTCAACAGCTATGTCGCCCTGGTACTTAACCTGCTCTCGCTTCTACAAGGCAGGTCTACACTTCTACAAGCGAGCGCGTCACCGAACTCTTCAGCAGTTATGTCGTCCTGGTACTCTAGACGCTCCCACCAATACTTCGTGCTCTTTCTCTCTCCGAGCTCCTCAACGGCTATGTCGTCCTTGTACGTAACCTGCCATCGCTTCTACAAGACAGGTCTACACTTTCAACAAGCGAGGTCGTCACCTAACTCTTCAACAGTTATGTCGTCCTGGTACTCTAGATGCTCCTAACAGTACTTTGTGCTCTCTCTCTCCTCCGAGCTCCTCAACGGCTATGTCGCCCTTGTACGTAACCTGCCGTCGCTACAAGACAGGTCTACACTTCAACAAGCGAGGTCGTCACCTAACTCTTCAGCAGTTATGTCGTCCTGGTACTCTTTATGCTTCCACCTACTTCGTGCTCTCTCTCTCCTCCGAACTCCTCAACGGCTATGTCGCCCTGGTACTTAACCTGATCTCGCTTCTACAAGACAGGTCTACACTTCAACAAGCGAGGTCGTCACCTAACTCTTCAGCAGTTATGTCGTCCTGGTACTCTTGATGTTCCCACCTACTGTAGTGTTTGTTTTTAAACAGAGCGTGACACTGACACACGTAGGACAGCTGTTTTGTCTATGATAGCGAACCGCTTACGTCAGCGTAGCTGTCAAACTTCATTGATTGGGTTGGTAGCCTTGAGGGAAGAGTCGATTTTCCTATTCGACTAAAATATTCGCCTTGAGACATAAAAAAAAAAAAAAAAAAAAAAAAAAAAAGTAATCAGGCGGTGAATCTCTGTGGGGGCGCGTGGATGAATGGATGGAGTTTGACAGTTGTTGAATTTTGAATAGGCTTTCCCAGATCGATTTGAGTCCTCCTTATCGGGTGCTGTTTTTTAATCGATTTTGAATTTTACTCGAAATTGAATTTCCTCGCTGATTTGGGTAGGTATTCCCTTTTCCTCAGCTTACGGCGAGCGTAGGTATATAGTTTTGAGTTTATTCTTCGGTTCGTCTCGAATGCGGCGGCTGTCTGTTTGACTGTGGCCTTTGCCTTCAGTTGAAGTGGGAAACAAATCATAGACACATGTTTGGGAGTAGACGATTCGTCTATCATCTATGAGCAATTGTCAAAACAACTTTTAAAAATTTCACAATCTGTTTGTGGTACAGTTAACTTTTCATCTTTTCTTCTGCCCAAAGTATAATAAACGGCATATTATTGTCGTCGAAGTCGTGAGATAGATCCGAAAAGTTTATATCCCGAAGGATATTGGCGGAAAAAGCGCGGAGTCGCTAACCGAACTGAGTTTCGTAGGTGGACGAACACGAACCTTCGCAAGGCGATTGCAATAATAAGGCGGTAACTTGTGATAGGAAACAAAATACTTACGGATAGTTTCATATTTCGAACGGCTTGTACGTTCCCCTCAAGAAATACTGGAGGACTAACAAGGAGACTTTTGTTCTGTGCACGGACCAGAAGGGGCGCGGGAGTTTATTTGCCAGCCGCTCTCCGGTTTTATGTAACCCGGCCGAACAGCAGACAGATTATACACAGCTTAACCTATCATAATCAAGGTATTTCTCTACTAACCCCGGGTGAACGTGAAAAGGAAACAACAGGCGAGGTTGGACCCCGACTTACCCATTTCCATATATTTACATATATCTATATAGCTGGTTATCTCACTGAGAACTAGAATTAACTAAGTTTGTCACCAATATCGATCAAACGAGCCGTAGAACCTCTGAAATCCACTCAATAGCTTATTCAGTCTAGTCTATGTGGTATTTGTGGATAAAATATATTAGTAAGGATTATATTGTAAGTACATGGTAAAGTGTTATGAATGTCTGATATTCATATAATTATAACCTTTCATGACAACTTGTTGGTTTATATACACATTAACTTTGAACTACTGTATTCAGCTTAGATATTTATAATTAGTGAAACATAGTTATTATATAAATAATAAACATAGTTAGACTTGTTGATTTATATAAGCAATAACTTAAAACTACTGAATTCCTATGCTTTGGTATCTAAAGTGGATAAAATATACTTATAACATTATCTTAATTTTTTTGATTTTCTTTTATTGTTCCCCCGGTGCTCTGAGTGAGCGAAGAGAGGGCAGTAGAGGGGAATTAAACATCACAAGTGGCGCCCGAACAAGTGGAAACAAGGCTTTGTAGCATTTACTTTGCTCTTTTTTTTTGGTCATTAATTGCTCAAAAAAGGTTGATCGATATTGGTGATTTTTCTTTTTTTTTTTAAATTTTCTTTTTTCTCTGAATTATTTGGCTTATATCCAAAGATTTGTTTATCTGGTTATACTGTATTGTAAACATAATAATTTGTAACATCGGATGATCGATATTGGCTCAAAATTTACAATCAAAAAAGTCATATTTACTTTTTTATACCCTTATTTAAAGGAAAAAAAAAAAAACCCTATTGTGTACTGATTTTTGGTAGGTTAGTTCACCAACCTCACTTTTTTGAACCTAACAAGAAGAAACCTAACATTGAGAAACCTAATCCTTTAGAACCTAACAATTTTCAACCCTCAGGTGTGAAACCACACTTGTTACAACACTACTATTTTAACTGATATATCTTAACAGGTAGGTGATTTTATTATCATATTAATTACACTTTGTTATTGAACATTTCTTTATTTTGCCACACTAGGAGTAATTTTAACTTACAAAATGGAACAGAGGCCAATCACTTTTAACTTGTTACACAAAGATGAGTTGGAATATGAAGTCAGAATTAGGGGTGCGAAGCCTGTGGACGGGGTGCCTGCTTTAAAGGCACAAGTGCGTGCTTTAAATAAAGATTTACCTTCTGATGAAATATTAACTTGTGAAGTAGAGATAGAATCAGAGTTGGATATTATTAGGGAGAAATTAGACAGTTTAGATGATCTTACTTCTCAAACTTCTTCTAGAGCTAGTTCCCTTAAAGCACTGAACAGAATACAATCATTAGCACATCACTTGTTTCATAGACTTAGTCGCTTAGATTCTGATAATGATGACAGCATCGCCTCTCAATTGGAGGCGCTGCAAGAACGTCTGGACAAGTTTCTGGTTAAGTTAGATAACATTATGCACCATTTTAAGAGTAGTTTAACTCAGGTGCCTCCGGAAGAGAATAGCAGAGTCCATGCTGCTTCTGAACGCACTGGGAATGCTTCCCCTGACTCTGGTGCTGCCGTACATAAACTAAACATACGGTTTAATGGGAAAACCTGTGTAAAGGCATTCTTGCAGCGTTTAGAGGAGTTATGTTTGTCTCGTGGTGTAACAGATGGTAAATTGTTCAATTCTGCAGCTGAATTGTTTACAGATGAGGCTCTTTGTTGGTATCGTGGGGTGCAATCCAAAGTACATAGCTGGTTAGGGTTGAAAACCTTGCTTCTTGATGAATATTTACCATCAGATTATGATCATCGTTTATTACAAGAGATCCGGTCTCGCACTCAGGGTTCCGATGAAAGCATAGTGAATTATCTTAGCATTATGCAGAACTATTTTACTCGGTTGTCAAAGTCGCTCTCAGAGGAAGAGAAATTGAATATTGTTCTTTTTAATATTAGACCTTTTTACACTACCCAATTAGCTTTGAATCCCATAGAGTCCTGGACAGATTTGAAACGCAAATGTAGACTTCTGGAAGGTGCCAAGGAGCGTTCCCAACATTTTAGTGAACCACCTAAAATAACCCAGGCTTGCTTAGCTCCAGATCTGAGTTATAAGAATAGCAATAATAGACAACTGCCTAAGGTCTCAGCCGTGCAACTGGTGGGAAATGATAAGTTCTGTGTGCGTTGCCGTGTTGAAGGGCACACTTTGGGAACATGCCGGGAAGCTCATGTTTTGGTTTGTTATCGTTGCGGCCGAAAAGGGGTGACGGCAAGATCGTGTCCCGAGTGCTCCCAGGGGAAAGCTAAACATACTTATCTTCCAAAAAACGGGAAGGTGTGAATCGGCGCTGTTATACATTTTTGTCTAAACACGAATGGGATTCGTGGTTGGAAGTAATTCGACGGTTTTTCGATAGTAATAAACAAAACATTATTAAAAAGTGTCAAAATGAATGTCAACATCTGACAGCGCCGATTCACAACACAAGAGGGGATGCCCGTCCATTTTTAAAAATTACTATTTATGAATTAAAATATATAGGCTTGCTAGACTCTGGTTCTGAAATATCTATTGTAGGTAACAATGCAATAAAACATTTTTCTGGCCTTGGTACTGTACATAAGTCATGGGACTTAACACACATTACTACTGCAAACGGTTCGTCGTCTCCAGTGACGGGCTACATATTTTTGCCAGTCACTGTCGGAGGAAGAACCGCCACTATTAAATTCTACTTAGTACCTGGGGTCGCCACTGAGCTACTTTTTGGGATGAATTTCTGGAAAGAATTTAAGATAGCACCCGACGTTCTATCCTTATTGGAGGGTGGTGAGTATTTGCCGGGGGGTAATCATATTGGTTCGATCACTTGTAACGATAGATTTTTACAAGATTTTGAGTCGCTCTCTGAGTCCGAGCGTAGGCAGGCTCAGGAAGTAATACGATTGTTTGAGGATATATCAGCGGAGAAGAGAGGATTAGGTGGGACTCACTTGGTCACGCACAAAATAGACACGGGCGATCATCCACCGATCAAGCAGCGTTACTATATCATGTCTCCGGAAAAGTTGGCCGAAATGAACAAGCAACTAGACCAAATGCTCAAAGATGATGTGGTGGAGCCGAGCAATAGTGCGTGGAACAATCCCGTCACTCTGGCGCAAAAGTCGGATGGATCTTATCGTTTTTGTTTGGACAGTAGGAAACTCAACGCGATTTCAAAGCATGACGCCTATCCTTTGCCGTATATCAGTAGCATCCTGGACCAGCTCCGTGACGCGAAATTCCTGTCTTCAATCGATCTTAAATCGGCATACCATCAAGTATTATTATCACCGGATTCCCGGGAAAAGACCGCATTCACTATTCCCTCCCGCGGGCTATTTCAATTTAAGGTCATGTGTTTCGGTTTGACCTCAGCGCCTGCCACCCAGCAGCGCTTGATGGATAGTTTGTTTGGGCCGGAGTTTAATAAGCTGTTGGGATCCGGGTCACCAGATTTTAACCCGGATAACCATAAAATATTCATTTATTTGGATGATTTAATAATTTTAACTTCCTCGCCTGCTATGTCCGAACATCTTGATATTCTACGTAAAGTCAGAGATAGATTGTTGGAGGCTAATTTAACTATTAATATGGGGAAGTGTCAATTCTTTAGAAGACAGTTGAAGTATTTGGGTCACGTGGTTGATGAATATGGTTTGCGTACCGATCCCGATAAAATAAGAGCTATTGTGGATTTTCCCATACCCGCTAATAGAAAGGAGGTGAAACGTTTTCTGGGAACTGCATCATATTATAGGCGATTTATTAAAAACTTTAGCCATATGG